GAGAGGACTCTGTTTGGAATTTGCCTTCTTTATGGTACACTGCCAACAGTTATTCAATGGTTTCATTCTGTGCTGCACTTTGAGTTCTTTAAGGATTATGGAAACGATAATTTTACTTTACAGAAGAATAAGAATCAGGAAAGCCTTCCATCCTCAAATTACAATATAACGTGTTCTTTTTACTGTCAAATGACGAATCTTTATGAGGAAAGGCAGCAAACTAAAGTCAACCACAGAGAGATCAATTACAGATGTTTCCTGGGAATCCTCTAGGCTCACAGGAAGATAGATGGTATTCTGAAGGGAGTCCCCAGTGTCTTCTCATGATTGCCTATGTTAATGGGATGATGGAAAATTCCAGATTGTGGATAGTCTTTAAAAACTGAGTTGGTGTTAATTTTAAATAGAATTATTGGTTTTAAAATATATAACCAAATGCTTGGTCATGATTGAGTGAACTTATTTTTGTCCCCCAATAAATATTGTGTATTAAGTGGGAAGTGTGTCTGTATCTATGCATAAGGGTGTGTGTGTATGTGTGTGTGTGTGTGTGTGTGTACATGAGGATGTACGCAGTGTTGCTAGATTCACAGCCTCTATTCCCAAAAGGGAAAACACTTTTTACTAGTAAGTACTGACTATAAATGTTTTAAGTTAAATATGACTAACACCTGATCAGTGACTCTCTTTTTCTTTGACAATGACAAAGTCATATTATTAGTAGGGTCTCATGAGCAAAACATTTTGCTGGGGGTGAAGCTTAAGAATGGCTAGACCATTGACATTTGGATGCTTAAAGGCCTTCAGAAATCCCAAAATTTGTGAAATGTCATTAAAAGTAACATGAATCTTTTCAATATTTGCTATATCTTCCCAAGGCTTAGTTTTGGGCCCATCTTTTCTCACCTCTCCCAAGGTTTTGGTCACCATCTACATAGCTCCGTCTCCCAAGTGTCTTATCTCTAGCCCAGTCCTATGCTTTGAACTCAGGACTCACTTGTCAGGTGCTACCAAGTTGATGCTGACTCTTGACAACCGAATATTAAGCACATAAAACACTGTTGCCCAGTCCTGCTCCATCTTCACAGTGTATGTTTGAGCCCATTCTTACAGTCATTGTGTCAATCTACCACATGTGGTTTTCCTTCCTGATGGATTCTGTTCATTCCAAGAAGAATAAGAATTAGAATAAGAAAACCCTTACCTGCCCAAATTACAATATAGCACGTGTTATTATTACTATTCTCCGGCACGTGGACCTTCCTGACAACATGTCCAGGGTAAGCCAAGTAAAGCCATCTCCACTTTTAAGAAACATGCTTGATGTGCTTCCTCCAAGACAGTTTTGTTTGTGCTGGCCCTTCACGATAGACCCAGTATTCTTTACCAATACCGTAATTCAAGACTCCCATGCTTCTTTGGTCATCTTGAGTGCTCAGCGTTTGCAAGCATATAAGGTGATTGAATATCGTGACTTGTGTCACGCGCGTCTTAGTCATCAAGGTGACTGCTTTGCTTGTTAGGCTTCTAAAGAGATAGCTCCCAATGCAGTACATTGTTTGATTTTCTGACTGCACTGGTTATCGATCCAAGTAAAATTATTCTTGATAACTTCAAGCTTTTCTTCATTTATCAAGATGTTACTTATTGATCCACTTGTGAGAATTTTTCCCCCTTCATATTGAGGTGTAATCCATACTGAAGTCTGTGATCTTTTATCTTAACCAGCAAATTCTTCAAGTCCTCTTAACTTTCAGCAAGCAAGGTACTTTGTGTCCTCCATGGCTGCAGTTTGTCAAAGAACCTTCCTCATTCTTCCTCATATCACCCAGCTTATTGGATTGTTTGCTCAGTGTACAGACTGAGTAAGTATGACAAAAGGATAAAGCCTTGGCACACATTTTTTTTTACTTTGAATCATACAGGATCCCCTTTTTCTGTTTGAACAACTGTCTCTTGGCTTACATACAGGTTTTCATCCTTTTGCAAAGTTATGCATAATTTGTTACGATCCACATAGTTGAATGCCTTCCTTAGTTAATAATATACAGGACAGCCTTTCTGGTACGCTCTGCTTTCAGCCAAGTGTGTCACGCCATGTTTCTTTGAAGCTGGCATGTTAAAGCTCTATTCTAGTGTTACTGGTACCACAAATTTAGTGTATCGAGTGAAGTCTTGTGGTACCCTTCCAATGAAGATAGTATCATCTATCCAGTTCCATAAGTTGTATACCTAAACTTTGTCTTTGGCTCACCCATCTCCTTCATTCTCCATGTCGAATGAGTCACTAAATCATGTAAATTTTTACTTACTAAATATCTTCAAAATCCGCACAGTTCTCTCTTTGTCCATAGCAGCTCTAATATGAGACACTGTAATGTGTTGCTTGAAGACTGAATAGACTGCTAACTGGTAGCCTTTCTTCTTCTCTTGTTTCTGTACAATACCCTCTTTTTCAAAATATGAATCTGTTTGGTCACTCTTTAAAAAAAAAAAGATTACTGAACAGCTTCCTATTGCTCTTAGACAAAAATTCAGAATCCTTAACATGGTCTTTGGGACCTGCATGATTTCTCTTGCTCTACACAGCCCTTTCTGGAATAATCTTCACCTGACATTTATACACAGATAGCTCCTAGCTTCATATACTTAGACTTCACCTCAAATGAAATGTCTACAAGCAAACCTCCCCTAGCCTTCCATATCCAAGTATATCAGTCTTCCATAGCATTGTCTGCTTGTTCTCATATCATTTACCACAATGTGCAGGTAGGCAGTGAATTCTATGATTATTTGGCTGAGTCTATTCCCTGGCTGGAAGATGGGCTAAGCTTTATCCTAAAGAATCTTCTAAACCAGATTAAGCTATTTGGAACTTACCTTATGGCCAAAAGGAAGCCTTTTAAGAAGACGAACAATGGGATGAGACAAATCCTCACCTTGGATGGGGTGTAGAGAAATGCTTGCAAAGGAGCAAGTCTTGTGGTGAGGAGGTTAGGATAGGAGGCTACACAATAAACCACAGGATTGGAATAATTGAAAATAAGTGGATAAAATAGGACAGATTCAAGGGCTTTTAGGGGACTTATTGATTGATATAAGTAACAGACAAGGGAGCAGATTACCCTGCTATTCTGGTTTGGAGCAGTGAGTAGCAAGCGATGACATTTACTTAGGAAGAGAAAACTGGTGATGAATGGGTTTGGGGAGGAGGGCATCTAGCACAGGAGGCAATTTCACACTAGGCATGCTGGGCCTAAAGCACACGGCAAGTACCCGAGTGTAGATTCCAGTGGGCTCTTGAATATATGACCCAAGAGTGAGATTTCAGTAACTGTATTCTGGGAGGTAAATGAGATCATCCAGAGGAAGAGTTGAGTGAAAAGGGCCTAAATCAAAGGCTAAAGCAAAATTTTGAGAGGCATCTGATAAGGAGATGCCTGGTTGTTCTTTTCCTAGACAAACTATAGTACTTTTCTCAGGCAACCTTCTCTGCCTGGAAAAATAAAATATATTTTCCAAACCCCAAATCAATTTTTCCCAGGCAACTTCCCCTGACCTGACCCTTCCCTTCCCCTCTTTTCCACCTCCTCACTCATACAATGTAGAATGGACTAGCCATTCCTTGTACCTCTCGTTTCCTGCACCCTCTCTATCATAGCACCTATAGCAATTTGATACTGATGAATTGTATGCCAGGGAGTCTTATCACTATTGCATTCCTTGTGTAAATATTTATTATTTGTTGATTGCATGAACTAAATAGATGCCTGTAAATAAGGATTGTCTTCATAGAAAGCATGCTTTATAAGTCAGTCACAGACTTGTGATCTGCTCGATTGCTACCATTTTACAGGAGGGAAACTGAAGGAGTACAAAGCCCAGCGTCACCAAGTCAGTGAGTGACAGAGCCAAACCTGGACTGAGTCCTTCTGGCTGAAATAATGTTGAAGAGTTCCCTTGATTTGATTGGGCATTTACAAGTTATATAAAATAGAAACCAACCAAATGCTTCCGAACAGAAATAAAGCACGGTTACACTAAGTGGAGAGCTTTGCCATTCTTTTTCTTTCCCACATCTACTGCCCTCCTCTGCCAATCAAGTGAGGGGAGTTATCCACAGACCCTCTCCCACAAATGCTTGATTATCATACATATAGTCATTTGAGCAATATCAGTTGCATTTATAATAGTGTCTTGATGATAATGATGATGATGTTAGGTGCCATCAAGTTGGTTCTGACCCGTGGCAACCCTGTGCACCACAGAACAAACACTGCCTGGTGCTTGATGTTGGGAATAATAAAATGAGAACTGGCTCAGGCTGTTGCCTGGTGGGAAGGCTGTCTAATCAGCAAATGTCATCCTAGTAGGCCTGTCCTATGGTACACAGAATAAAATACACTGTGCTCTATAATACATATTAGAATAAAGTTCTAGAATAAATTAGAACAGCTTATAACAAAAACATTTGTCTGGTGGATCTAAAGAGTCCCCAGTAGAGGAGGCGGCATTAGAACTAGAGATGGCAGCATTTGTTAGCTACAGATGAGTAAAGGGCCAGCGGCATGGACAACAGTCCAGGGCCATGGAGGGGCCAGGAGGACAGCATGACTTTGGCACTGGGTGGATAGCCGTGGGACTAATAAAGGGAGAAGAGGAGAACTGTGTTGATCCATGTTGTCAAGAGCCTACTGTTCTGGCCACTGAAGTAGAAGTATGTCTATCATTTCGGACCACCAGAAGTCACTCTCCTTGTCACTGAATAAAAAAATCTGACCCTAAGGAGATACTTTATATAAAAGGTCTAATGGTTTAATACGAAAGCAGCCACGAGCTAACTAGAGTAATGATCACTTGAGCCCAATAAACACAAAAATGATTATAGTTCCAAGAGAGGTAGGCTGGGGTCTGGGCCTTGAGGGAAACGAGGGTCATGGTTTCAGTGAACGGGAGCGAATGTATGGTCTACTACAACCTCTGCCATGCTTGTTTTGTAGTTCCGTGGAGAATGGAAGGCCACCCGATCCTGCAGACTGGGCTGTGATGGATGTCGTCAACTATTTCCGAACAGTGGGATTTGAGGAGCAAGCTAGAGCTTTTCAAGAACAGGTAACTCGGTCTCATGATGACGTACCTATACACTTACCTGTCGCCAAGCGAAGAAGGGTGTGAGGAAGGAGGAGTGAGGGACCAGCACTGGTGCCCTTGTTCTTCCATGTCCTCCACTTTAACTCCTGATGATACCAGGACCTCAGGGATTGAGGGGACGGAGGAAGGGGAGAGTGAAAGTTACAGATTAGTGACTCTCCTGCAAGAAAAACACCCCAAAGCCCGAGACACAGTCACCACTGCGGAGAGGAGGGATACATAGTGCATTTGTATCTGCATCTTGGCAAAAGCCGCTGCTGCTGCTGCTGCTGGAGGGACAGCTGTGTCCTCAATGGAAACACATTAGAAAGTGGAAAATAGAGGTAGGGATGAGGCTAAAGGGGCTTGAGCAAGAAGGGGGAACACATTGTAGTCTACAAGGGCTATCTCTGTAGAAAAAGCTGTTCTCTCTGTTAATGACGGCAGTAGTCTCTTAAACACCAACTTTGTTTTTCTAATTTTATACTATAGTTGGAGCTATAGACCAGAGAGGCGAGGCTGGTCTGGCTGCTTGTTCTTCATTCCTTCCGCTGTTTATTATTCTGTCGTGTGATTGGCTGCCTGGGCTGAGTTTGAATAAAATAATGTTTTCTAGTATTGAATTTGCCAATCAGTAGCTTTCCTCCAAATAAATTTTCCTGTGTATTTCCTTTGTTAGTTTGGAAAAGTTGCCAAAATAAGTCACTTCATATCCAGGAGAACAACTAAAATTAGAAAGACTGATAAGCTCCAAAAGTTCATGAGGAGCTGGAGCAGCCGGAAGTCCCACAAAGTGTTGGTGGGAATGTAAAGCAGGCTCATGCATCTTTTCCCTGACCCAGCAATGCAACCACGGGCATAACCCAAGGGGAATGAAAACATATGACCACAAAGTGATTTGTACAGGATCGTTCTTAGTAGCTTTCATTTATACTGTGGAAAATTAGCACAAGCAAACAAAAAGAACTCGAAACTGGAAGCCCAGGTGTCCATCAATAGGAGAGTAAATGTGCCAAAACAAAGTGAAAAAGCCAGGTGGCTTCAAGACAATTCCTATTCATGCCGACCCCATGGGTGCAGAGTAGACCTGCTCCGGAGGGGCAGGCCTTTCCATTGAGGCACTTCTGGGTGGCTGCAGAGCACCACACTTCCAGTGAGCAGTCAAATGCCGAACCATTTGCACCTCTCCAAGGAACGTGGACACTGTGGTGCCCTGATACAAATAAATGAACCAGATATTTACAATAGCATGGTTAAATCTCAGAAATATGTGGAGTGATAGAAGCTTTACAAAAGATACTGAACGGTTCCATTTACAAGTTTTAGAAGAGGCAACGACTCAATAGTGGAAGGAAATGGGAACCCTGGTTGCCTCTGATAGGAACATAGGAGGGGTACGGGTGATGGCGCTTCTCAGTAAGGGTGTAGGTTACAGCGGGAGGCATTGTGTCTCCATAGTTACATGGGCATTTAGTTCACTTAAGATCTGTGCATTGCATATCTTAGACATTGTACCTCAAATGGAAAAGAATGGCCAACACATACTGAGAAATTGCAAACTTATGTAGTTATGGAGAAATATAATACTCTATATAGCTTTCTTTGACATCTGTTTTCTAAAAAGAGGGATTGATGGCTGACTGGAAAGATGACTAGGGGGATAGATGTGTGCTAGAGTAAGTGCACTAAAACATTGATTGGAAAATCTAGGTGATGTGAATATGGGTGTTTAGCTCTATAAATATTCTTTACAAGTTTTCCTCTTGTTTGAGAATTTTGATCATAAAAAGGCTAGGCGACAGAGGACAATTTAAGATATGAAAACATGGGAAGAGATTCCCTGGACCGTCCAGATTCTGTGCAGATCTCTCTCTGCACAGAGAAAGGAGTGATCTCATTAACGAGGAGCAAACTCTCTGAAGGCATGTCGTAGACATCATAAGGGGAAAAGAGCTTCTGTGTTGAGCGTGCCAAGTCAAGAGCCTGAGAAATGAATCCTCAGGGGACGGGGATTTTACAAACATAGTCCGGCAGCTGAAATGTCTTCATTCTCATGGAAGGATTGGAATGTGGGGGAAAGTGGCAAACTTGAGTTGTTCTCAAATCTTTCTTCCACCATGAAAGCCCCATCATGTTTTTCTCTTCACTTTAAAGGGGGTAGAGGGTGAGAAGGGAGTCCCTGTTCAGAGTCAGGTGACCAAGACAGCGTAGGTGCTGTGATTTTCATGAAGGAGGAGGAGCAGGGCCCTCTCCCTGCCCCTCTCATCATCATGGTACAGTGTTTCACCACCAGAGATCGTCCTGCCATTGCCCCTGCAGTCTCCCCCACAGTTGGCAATCATTCACCCAAAACATCCTGCCTAGGAAGACTTCAGACCCCAGCCAACCAAAACGCAACCCCAGACATGTCACACTTCTAGATCATAGCAGCTGAAAATCAATTAGAATGCACGTGGTTTTAAATCCTCCCGGGGAAGACTTTACCCTGCCACTTTGTGGCAGGATGGAGAATGTCTCCCAAGTGACTCTGAAAAGGGCAGAGCCTAAAGGGCAGCACAGTGGCCAGTGATCTAGGGAGCTTTTGCTGCATGACTTCATGACTGAGATTGCTGCCAGACACATCCACCATCAGATGGGCCAGCTTTCAGGAGAGTGCCTGTCCTCACATTATGGTCTCACAGTACATTGCTGGATGCTGTGTTGCTGTAGCAACCAGACTCAGATCTAGCTTTCTAGCCACGTGCCCTGGGAAGATGTTAATCCACTGAGCAAGATTTGTCCAAAGGGCAGGAATGGTATCCCATCTTCCTGGGGGATGGTGGCACAGCTGTATTAAGCTGGTAATCTTTGCATAACCTCCTTTTCCCTCTGAAGGCATACTTTGAATTGAGCAGGCAGGCAGCTTAATTATCTTCTACTAGTTTACCCCTGGTAAACCTGCTTCCAAGTCTCCGATGCGCCACACCACTACAAGTCTAAAGAACTATCAAGCCAAGTAGAAAGCCTAAATCCCTGCACAGCCTCTTGTCAGTGGCCCAGTGTCAATAGTGTGTTTGTGCCTTGGATTGTTTTACTGTTCTATTCACTCTCCTTTGATTGACAATGACATCTCTGTACCTCAGTTGGCCTATAGTGTCTGTCATCAAGGCTGAAACTGTACACTCTGTGAAACAGCTTGTCCAATAGGGAGTCCGGTCTGCTTGCCTCATTACAAAGGTATTCCAACTAGGTTTTTGGCCCCTTAAGAGCAGGAGGCAGTGGGAGTCCTTCCTAGAGAAAGCAGTGAGTGAGTGTTTACAGAGCACTAGAAGCGACAGATGGTGCTCGTGATCATAGGGATTTATTAGGGAATTTAACAGATTACAAGGCAGGAACAGAAATGTTAAGGATACAGTTCTTTGGTCTTCAGCATGGCTTCTCAGTTGTGCCAACAGGAATGACTCTCTCTCTGGTCCTTTGCCCCACAGCCATGCTGCCCCTTGACCTCTTCCCTGCTTGGGCAATTCCTATAAAGTGCTGTTAGTGCTTGTAAAGTCCCAAAGGACACTCGACTCTGCAAGCCAGCATCCTGAGTGAAGGCACTCAACTTTGCTTGTTCTGTGACTTGGGAAACCTCCATTCTGTGTGCCACTCTGCATGCCACTGTGGTTCTCCATGGAGGATCTTAGATGCATTCCATTCTTGGCTCTTTTTTCTTGATGGTCATAATATTCTCTGTGACTCCTTCTGAAATGGCTTTCTTTATACCTAGAAGAATAATAAAATTGACTAATCTCCAAGTTAGAGGCCTCTATACCTTATTGTATGCACCCCACCAGTCATTTGGTGGGAGATACAAGGATTGTGGATAAAGAGTCGTGACAAGCAATTTCACTCCATCTGCAGACACAGTGGCATGGTGCCTACTTTACCTAGTGCCTTCTTTCAGCTTGTGGTGAATAATGTTAATGAGAGCCAGACTTGTATTCTCTTAATTGACTTGTGGTCACTGATGATTAAAATTTTCTCTCCTAGGACTCAGATTTCTGTAAAGTGACTGCTGAGTTTAACAAACACTCAATTGACCGACTTCCTGCTTTGAGCCAAAAAAAAAAAATGCTCTCTTAAAACGGATTCTGTTGAAGTCAGACTTTAATGCATGGTACACGGCACAAGCACGACTTGAGAGTTCGTCATTTCTGTGAAGAGTGTGAGTGACTCGGAGAGATGATAAGGAAGTGTCACTTGTCTGTTCACATGGACTGACTGGCTTTCGGGAGTCCAGTGTTGCCTCAGGAATTTGACTTTGTGAAGAGCTTTACTTTTAAGAAAGAACCTTTGGCCCTGTTTATTTAACAGCATCTTCCACCATCTCACAGAAAATGTTCAGGAAAAGTTGGATTTTTTTAGACTTTGAGGGCTAAATGAGCTACATTATCTGGTGTAATCTGTTTTGATTGGCAGTGCTTTACTGCCAGGTAAGGGAATCTGACAACCCATTAGAATAATTTCACCACCCAAAGCAAACCCTACTTGTAGGTCACAAAGACAATTCTGCCTGTGCTATATCATAGTCACTTAATTGTTATGTCTCAATCTGCTTACCTCACCTATTCCAACTGCATATGAAGAAGATACAGATAAAGATCTTCTACTTAATCATTGTCATATAATTTATGTTCAAGTTTCTCAAACTTAACAAGTGAGTGACATCAATTTTGTTTCTAGAACAAATGTATTTTGAGATTCCCCCGCCCCTCAGAAGATTGTGCAAAAATAATATACAACTTATGGTGACAAATTAATTTTACTGTATAGTCTCCTCGTATGGCAGAACACCACGAATGATAATACTGTTTTACTCTAAAATACCCATCTGGCTTTTTAACCACTGATTTGAAATGCAAAGATGGACACTTTTTTTTGAGGGGGGAGACTTATTTTTGACTTACTAAAGAGAAACTTTCTCATTGCTATGCATTCTCAAGTGACTATGAATGGCG